AATAAAAGAATTAATTACAGAATATTACAGAAAATATCATATAATTATGAAAGAAATAATATCTTATAATTAAGACTATTGATCATATCAATCTCTTAATTATAGGATATTCTAACATCTCTTAATTATAGGATATTCTAACATGATAAGAATGTGTTCGTGTGTTCATGATGACTGAAAAGTGCCAGGGTTTTAATATATATAGAAAACAAAAACCACAACAGTCCTAATTACTTTTGTAAAGTGAGCTAGATAACATTTTTATAATGGCGTATGTTACTAGAAGTCTAGTTTTGTTAATCTTATCCACGTAGAATTAATTTGTTTTCATTTGTGATGAATCTGAGTATTTAGTTTGAGTGGAATTATGATCTAAGCTTTTATATAAAGTTATAATAATTAGTTTAGTCGTTGTTATTTTAATTTACATTTTTTTCTTTTCATAGAAACTTCAACAAATGTTTTTGGCTTTCAACATTTCTTGCTGTCCCAACAATGCCATTTCTTTTTTGGGTAAGAACAATGCCATTTCTAATATTCGTCCCCACCATCTCAAGGACTAGGAATATTAGTACAATTAATTAATAGATTGATAGTGGGGAAGTGGGGATAGTTGAGATGGTTAGAAGTACATTGCTAACATTTGTTGCATGCAAAAATTTATGTTATGATGGGCCAAAATAAAAACTAACTACACATTAATATTTTTGCTCATAAATATTTTTGTTAGGGTGGGCCAAAATCCAGAAATTGTATATATTAATATTTTTTTAAAAAATTGGACCTAGACTTTCTTCTTTTGTGGAGCCTTGAGAAAGTCACTAACGATGGGTTAGTATAATTTTCCTATTGCTGATTTGGCCCTGCGCTGATTCAGGAGCTTCTTCTTTAGTCTAGGATTCTAAATAATAAACAAATCAAAAGAAGCGGCTAGGCAAGAACAAGAAGCGGTCGTCGTCCGACAGCCAGAACTAGAGTAGCATCCACCCTTGGTTGCACGTATTAAGATTTAAAGTACTCTACTTAAAAACACAAACAAATGAGAATGACTTCATGATCCGTTCAGGTTTAACATTTTTATTTCATTGAAACAAGTCAAAACTGTTAGAATTTGAGGTGGCCTTGACTCCTCACCTAATAAGGCCTTGTTGAATGGGAGTATTACCCCCTCTTATAACCCAATAGGTTTGAGCATGCCTTGTCGATGTGGGATTCCAACACTCCCCCTCAAGGTCAAGCCCATATGTTGGGTCATGCATGTTATTTGAGATAGTTGCTGGCTCTAACTCTTCACCCTCTGGCCAAACGCTCAGCTCAACTGAATTTGGGCTCTGATACCGTGTTAGAATTTGAGATGGGCCTAACTCCTCACCCAATAAGGCCTTGTTGAATGGAAGGATTACCCCTTCTTATAACCCAATAGGCTTGAGCATGCCTAGTTGATGTGAGACTCCAACACTCACTCTCATGGTCAAGCCCATATTTTGGGTCATGCCTGTTTTTTGGAGGTAATTGTCGGCTCTAACTCCTCACCCGCTGGCCAAGCGCTCAGCTCAACTGAACTGGGCTTTGATACCATGTTAGAATTTGAGGTGGGCTTGACTCCTCACCCAATAAGGCCTTGTCAATTGAACCTGGACTCTGATACCATGTTAGAATTTGAGGTGGGTCTAACTCCTCACCCAATAAGGTCTTGTTGAATGGGAGGATTACCCCCTCTTATAACCCAACAGGCTTGAGCGTGCCTAGTCGATGTGGGACCCCAACACTCCCCCTCACAGTCAAGCCCATATGTTAGGTCATGCCTGTTATTGGAGGTAGTTGCTGGCTCTAACTCCTTACTCGCTGGCCAAGTGCTCAGCTCAACTGAACCTGGGCTCTGATACCATGTTAGAATTTGAGGTGAGTCTAAGTTCTCACCCAATAAGGTCTTGTTGAATGGGAGGATTACCCCCTCTTATAACCCAATAGGCTTGAGCGTGCCTAGTCGATGTGGGGACTCCACACTCCTCCTCACGGTTAAGCCATATTTTGGGTCATGCCTATTTTAGAGATATTTGCTGGCTCTAACTCCTCACCTACTGGCCAAGCGCTCAGCTCAACTGAACCTAGGCTTTGATACCATGTTAGAATTTGAGGTGGGCCTAACTCCTCACCCAATAAGGCCGTTGAATGGGAGAGTACCCCCTCTTATAACCCAATAGGCTTGAGCGTGTCTAGTCGATGTCACTAGAAAAAACTGACTTTCTGCGTCTAGCAAAATTAGATGCAGAAGTCACATTTAGATGCTAAACTTTTTAGCATCTAATTCGGTAGTTGCCCCTTACTTGCAGTAGCTGGTTGCAGATTCATAGCGGTCATATTGTGGTTTAGACGCAAAAAGTTTTTTTTTTTTTTTTTTTTTGCGACTATCAAAATAGTCGACAAATGTTGTTCAAAATAGTCCCCCAACTTAGACGCTAAAAGTTGAAGGGTAATTTGGTAAAATTGTATAGCGACTAATCAATTAGTTGCAAAATGTCGGTTTTAGTGTCTAATAATTTGTCACGAATCCCACGCAAATTAGTCGCCAAAGGTGTAAGGGTAATTTCGTCAAGGCTTTTGCAACTATTTATTAGTGACGAATGTATCTTTTGTGACCAAAATTTAGTGGCTACTTGTAACTCTTTTAGACGCTAATGTAGAATCCAAACGGTTTTCGCAACTATTTATTAGTGGCCGAATGTATCTTTTGGTGACCAAAATTAGTGTTAATTATAGTCATTTTAGACGCTGAATGTGGAATCCAATAGGTTTTTGTGACTTTTTATTAGTGGCCGAATTATCTTTTAGTGACAAAAATTTAGTGGTTAATTGTAATCATTTTAGACGCTGAATGTGAAATCTGAAATGTATCGCGACTATTTTTTAGATGCTGAATATGGAACAATTATACTAAATTACTTTTTGCTACTAAAACATTAGTTGCAGAATGTGTTTTTTTAGAGCATTTCATATTGACCTCCAGCGATGCCACTATGCTAAATGACTTTTTGCTACTAAAATATAGTTGCAGAATGTTTTTTTAGAGCATTTCGTATTGACCTACATTATACATTCAACATGAACAAAATAATGGACACAATATTAAAATCTGATCACTAAACAAAAATCAATTTTATATCTATATATGTAGTCAATACATGGATTTTTATGATGATGAGCAATAAAAATCCAAAATGCACTATACACTGTGCATAACCCAAAAGAACACATGCACCCACATTTTCCTTTTTCTACCTATCTATCTGTGCATACTAACAAAAAATGCCCACCCCATGTAACCATCTAACACATATATGCAAACAATCCTAAAAAGATGGTTCTACCCCCATGTCAAAATATCTATTGTCCATACAACACTAAAATAACCATCAATACCGTTAGCACATCAAGTGTCACCAATTCCGGTATTTGAAATAGCTGTAGTTGATGAGGACGAGTCTTCATCAGTTCGAGAAGGCAGTGCTGTCGAGTTGGAGCTTTATCAGATTTTCTCAGTTCAAGGGCTATAGTGCTGCTTATCATCTCTAACAGGACCAATTGTTGGTGTTCAAGGCTTTTTATTTTCTCTTTTTGTTGATCAAATAAGATTAGCTGGTCCTCCAACTGTTTAATCTTCTATCCATTGTGACCTTTAGGTCACAAACAAAACATAAATTCAGTATCATAATATGTTCTATCACAAAGACAATACTCAACCCAATTAAACCACATTCATCCATGCGAAAATATAGTACTAGTGATAATGTAAATGGGTCTAAACGATCAATAAATTAATTAAATATCAATTTACGTAACTTATACCTTTTTGTTATGGTTGAGTAGTTGTGGTGCCGCAGTCTTCTTAGCCTCGGTCTTCAAGTCAACTTTAAGATCCTCAAAAACCTTTTACAACAAATAATAGGTTTTAATTTTATAATTTATCAAGAATATGTCATTTTTCTTATATGAAAAGAAATACCACACTCTAAATTATTAATGTAGGAAACCTCTCTTTGGTACCTAATTAAATACATATAAAAAACGTCAACTCTCGTAGAAGTAATGGAGACAAAGATGGCTATGGAGGCAAGCAATAAAAAAGAAAAACAATATGTAACTGGCTAATTAATTAAAGAGATTAGGTAAGAATTACAAGGACTTTAACAAGTAACACCATGATTTAGACATTATAAAGTCTTAAATGATAGAATCAGACTTGTAGAACGGCAGGAAAAGCAAGCTTTACAACTTTAATTATTTTTTCGTTGAGCATGCCTATCCTCACAATCTTATAGATATAAAAATTAATTATATAATTCTAACCAAACTTTGTTATCTTCACTTTTTATAAGAAAATTATTAAAAATTAAGAATTGTTGTAACTGATGATTCATCAAATTACACTACTAATTAAAGCCTTCTATAATTTTTACTTGCCCAAAAGCACTTAACAAATTTTTACTTGCCCAAAAGCACTTAATAAAGTATATGTGTAGTTCTCGCTCGGAAACAATATTTAATTTTAGAAGAAATTAAAGGTATTGATATAGCTAACTATACCAGGACTTATTTCAAAGTTAACTAAGCAAAAAGCATTAAGATCTCGAAGATGAAATGTAGCACTAAGGCCGCATCAATTGAATGGATGCATTTAATAGTAAGGGTATCCAAACCAAATTAATTTCACTTTATGGATCTCTTACAAGAAATAGATGGGATGAAGAGCAAAAGACAACCCCTTTGAATGTTCTAAGTTTAAAATGAAGCTTCCGTTTATCATAATCTAGACACAGCATGCATAAAAGTCTACAGCAAGTAATTTAGTTCACTTGTTTGATCTTACTTTACTCCAATTTCACTCTAATCATATTTATTAAAGATCTTCTATCTGCGAAAGAGGAGGTCATTCAGTACCTGAAACAAAGCGAAGTGAATGAGATGAAGCACTAAATGAGGCCGACCAAACCAAAGTATTGTCTGAGCCCTGTACAAGTGGCATCCCTTGCACCACCGCATGTCTTTCGGTAATTTCAAGAGCCACTGTGTCAAAATGGATTGAAGCTCCATTCCAATAGCTAAGATTATCTGCAACCAATTAATAGTATTCAGAATTTAACTCTTCCAGTAAGTCAAGATGATAGGTGCAGAGAATAAATTTCTTACAATCACAGGGATTAAGGATGCCCACAATAATGCTTGCCATCCTGAAAAGGAAAATAAATATGTTAATGAACTATATCACTTCTAGTTCAATTTAAAGTGCAGAATCATTGTTCAAAAGGCATTATCAAGGAGAAGATAACTCACCATTAACGTTTACAAGCAAGAAAAGCACAAATGATGCCCACAAGACAGGACTGCCAATAACAAAAAAAAAAAAAAAAGGAAAAAAAAATGTCAGGACAGAAGCATAGACTATATGTAATTGATTAGGCAAGAGTGGTACAAGAAAACTGCAAAACATAGCATGATAAGAAACACATTAAATAAAAAGAGTATTACCTTCCTTGAATAAAAACTAAATGGTGCAAATGTAAAGTCAGAATGAAAAAATTGAAGTAGGGCTTTGTAATTAATGATGTGGGTTTTTCATGAGGCAGAGGTGATGAAGCATAACACTTAATTTTGAACCCCAATAATTAAAATTCAGCATTAAAATTTGATTAGAACATCAAACTAACCCGAGCACGGCCACTTAAATAAGTACTCATGTTTCCACTTTTAACTCATTCTTGACTCATTTCTCAAGCACATGGTGAGTACAATGCAAAACAAAAAAATAGTAATTAACAGCATACCCATCTCACGCAATTCATGAAACTCACATGAAAACCTTGATTAATCAATAAAATATTGGCATTATAAGCTAGTGCTATCAATCAAATTGAACTCAAGTGAACTAGATATCTATTCCACAAATCCCAAATTCTGTAACTTCTAGATCCAGCTCTTTCATCTTTACACACTTAGTCGCCACAAGTACAACACCCAAACTGAAATTAGCTATAATCCAACAACCCTATCAACGCAATCAATAATTGAGTTTAATTCAACGAATAAATATCAGCTCTAAAAACGCAGTAATGAAACCAGAAACAACATGAAATGTGTCAAGCAACAGTTCAAAAGCCCCTAGCCGCAGCAGCCTCCAATCTTTTCTTTAAACCACTCTGCAACGCCAAAATGGAACCTCCAATAGTGACTCTAAACCCTCGATTCTCTTCCTCAACTCCAACATGGGGCCTGCATCCGTACGATGGCCGCGTCGACATTGACGAGCTTGGTGTTCAAGTTAACGAAATCAGACACAGTCCCGGTCAATTAAATCATAAGTTCATGCTTGAGGAAGATAAATGAGATGTAACTTAGATCGGAGTGTCTGAAGGAACAAAATTTTGGAGCTCCGAGATATAGGATTCGGAGTCAAAGGTTGGGGAGAGAAAGAGATTGGATTTAAACCAAAGAGGATGAGCGTCAACTGGATCGAAGAAGAGGTATGGCGGATCTAGGCGGTGGAGCAGTTGCGATCAAATCCACATTTCTGATTGTGGTTGTGTTTCTTTGATAACAAGTTTTTTCTCCTAATTAATCAAGACTTCGTATTTGCATTGGAATGAAGATTTAGAGTGCAACTGTAACTGCAATGTTAAGAAAGAACGAACGCTTCTGACGTCGTCGTTTAATAAAGAACATGTGTGTAAAAGCGTTTAGGGTCGAAGCCGGCCGTGAAAAGATTGAGAACAGATGAGGTTCGATGGACGACAGTCAGAACTGACAAGGACAACTGGAGAAGTCCAGATTTTAGGGAAAAAAGGAGAAGAAGATGCGGACGGAGTGATCAATTAGGGTTTAGGGTAAAATTAGTTTAGTTTTGGATAATTGGGTATATGTAAAACATTTATTTGGTCCCTACATGATGAAAAGTGACAAGGTAGACCCTAAATAATATCATTTGACCCCTCAAACAAAAAAAGAGACAAAATCAACCTGTTGTATATACTTTGGGGCCTTGTAATTAGTCCAAATATGGGATATTTTGAAATATAATTCTATTATGGAAATAAGTCGATTTGCAACTAAAAATTAGTCAGTAAAGAATTAGTGTTAGTTGCCCATAATTGAGGTCGGCGGGAACAAATAATTTTGGGGGTGATATGAATTTTTTAAGTTAAATTAGCAACTAAATCAAATTTAGTTGCTGTAATACTTTGGGGCCCTGTAATTACTGTCCAAATAGTGATATTTGGTAATTTCATTTTTCTAAACTAATCATAATAGTTACTAATAAATCTCTAATTATTCGCAACTAATTTAGCAACTAAATTAGTAGTGCAAAAAATTGGTTTTTGTAACAAAAATGTAGATGCAAAAAGCCATATTTTAGATGCAAATTATCAAATTTTGGAGGGAAAAATCACCCGGAAAAAATTGCAACAAATTTATTAGTCACTAAAGCAACCGGTTCTGTGACTAACAAAATAGTCGCAAAAATTAACTTTAGATGCCAAATGTTGGAATATGTGGGCCCCAAAATTTTAATTCTCTTGCTCGACTAATGTCAATTTAGTTGATAAATGTAGCCTTTTGTAACTAATTCTGGTTAGTTGCTAAAAAATGGTTGCAAATGTCAATTTTCTTGTAGTGTGTGGGACTCCAACAAAAACTTTATGTATATATAATGATATCGATGTATCCAAACTTGTAAAAGCAAGATTCTAGAGAAGAGTGGGGAGATGGAAGAAAGAAAACAAGCAACAAAGGCAACCGCGTTCGCCTCGACATTGTTGATGAAAGGTAACGTAGTTTTTAATGTATAACTATGATAAGTAGCTTCCTTTTTTTTTTAAGATGCCACTTTGGCACCTTTAATAAATAAATAAACGTCTTTCCATTAATTTTATAAAAAACTTTGAGATCCTTAAGCATGTTGGGAAATTCTACTAATGCCCTGATACCAAAATGGATTCTAATTAAATTACTCCATAACAGAAAACTTAGGTTATATATATATATATAATATACACTTATCTTGTGAAAAATGATTTTTTAACATTTATTTTTGATGGTACAGTTTACAAAAACTTTCTCCATGGACGTCATATCATGCATTAAGGGTAAACATGAGTAACGGTTCTATCCGGAACCAATGGATAGAACTGGAACCGGCCTTCACAAGGTAGATTCCAGTTCCAATGATTGGAACCGCCATTATGCGGGGTTGGTTTTTATTCCTACATGTCCATAAACTGGAACCAGACCAAAACCTGGAATGGGCATTGAGGTCAGGTATCCGGGATGGAACATATCTTGAAACTGGGCTACAACGGGTACCCAGATGGAACATGTCTTGAAACTGGACTGGAACAAATGGAAGAAATGTCAGTAAAGAATAGAGGGTCTATTGTAATTTTACATTAAAAATTCAATTTGATTCTGGGAGACGTGGCGAATGGGTGGAGACCCCCACTTTGGTGAGTACTAAACTTTTATGTGTGTTATATGTTTTTACTGTAAACACCAACATATTTTGAAAAACAATAATGAAATAAAAAATTTATATTTCAATTGTCACAACTACGTCAGGTTATTGTTAACGAGATTTAGAATATATATATATATTATATATATATATATATATATATTATAGATGTATATTGTGACGCTTGATTTTGGACGCTAACAACTCGCACGTGAAAAGCGCTAAGCGGACTTAGATCATACGTGATGGATGCATGAGATTTGAATATGGAGTTGAGATATATATGTTGCAGAAAAGATAAATAAAAGATTGACAAAAGGGGTTTTTATAGTGGTTTTAATGCTCAATAAGTGACTCATAAATCCACTGTTATTTTATTAATTCTAACTATTTCTATGATTTTGCTCGTAAGGCATACAAAATGAAGAAATACAGTATTTACAGAGAGAGAATGAAATGAAGCTCAAATCTTAGCCCATCCCCCTTCTTTGGGAAGAGGAGTGCCCATTTATACACCTAAACACTCAATGTAATGAGTGTTTTGCAAGTTGTCTTGACACATGAAAGGCTCTCGTCCATTCATCTATTTGAAATGATAAAGTTGATGAGAATATCTTTGAAGATATGGGCTTGGTAGCTGGTACAAAGAGACATTATTATACTGACATGAGCTTGACTTTTGAGGCTAACAATATATTTGATCAAGCTCTTTCAGTTGTAAACATGAAAGAATTTATTTAATCACATAAAGGTTTTGTTATTTCGGGGAAAATCAAAATGACACAAAAAGTATTCAAAAGTGTTTTTACAATTAATGATAAAAGAGCTAAGTGCAGTTTTTTTGGGGAAGTATCACTTAATAACAATTTATTTTATTGTTATTGGGTTTTTATCATCTTACACATTTTATACTTTGCCCATTAATAAATTAAAATAGCATTTGATTTGAGATCATAAAAGATAACACCGGTAATCTAACTTTAATTCGCAATTATCACATTGGATGTCAATAATGAAAGATTCCAATAATCGATCAATATAAATTGTGTTACTGTAGGTAATAGTGGGTAATTCGATTACCGTCTAAAATTGTGTTATTTTTTATTACTAGGGTAATCCACTGTTCATACAACTTACCCTAATTAATAAAACATTTTGGACACGAATGTCCTCATAGTCTATTAAATAACAATTAGCCAAAATATGCGAAATGATTTCTATAATCTCATATATTAACTTTTTGCATAGAAATACACTCACTATTTACAAGAATAATACCCAAAATATCCCCAGCCACCCAGACGATTGTCAGGCACCCTCGTTAGTTTGATGCGTCGTCGAAACGACCAACGGATCTAACTGTTTTTGGCTAGATTCGACAACAATATGTCGTCTCGACAACTATCGACGACGGCTGACGGTAGTAGCTAGTGGTCGACAGTCTTCTAGGGTGGGTATTTGGTAAATTTATACTTCTATTGTTGGGGTGTTTTAGCTAAATTCTCAAATGTTGGGATTAAAATAATACTCTAAATAATAATAATATTTAAAAAAAAATGTAATTCAATAATAACCCTTTCGATAATATTTATTCCTCCCAACCAAATATATTAATATAACATTCCCTATTAATCTTCAAGGTAACTATCTCAAGACAATCCTATCTTTTCCGAATAAAAAATTTCCTGAACCAAACACTACTTTTTGGGTAATATTATTACAAATATGTAAGGGGAGAAACTATGATTCAAATATACCCAAGTCAATATAATTAAAACGACTGAGCAAAGTTTGGAGTGGTTGTCCACTATGACTTCTATGTTCCTCATGTATGGTACGTTGCCCCTTTTTACATAGTTATTTTCTCGTGTAGGGAAACACATT